AGGGAAATACCGGTTATAGTGCGGTTTCTGGCACAGCCCGCCGACCGCGCCAAAGCAGCGAGCACGCTTCCCTGTGCGACACTAGATAACGGCGCTGACGGCGCGAGCCGCAGGTTGGCCGCAAGCGGCACTGGTAGGGCAACGAGGTTGCTCGAAGAAGCGGGAAGAAGCGAAGAGAGAGGCTTCATTTGCCATAGCGACGGAGGGACGCACGCACATGTCGTTCACGTGCATGCGTCCCTCTGTTGCGTTGCAAACAAAGAAACAAACAACAGCAACGACAGACCAATCGCAGGTCGAGGAGAAGTGTTCGCGCGCGTTGCATGCCGGTCGCGGGCCGGCTGCTTCTGTCCGCAAACATGGCGTCGGTTGTGATCGTCGTCGTAGACGGCGTTCATCTCATCGTTCTGCGTAAAAGCGCTATCCTTGACTGTGAATTTTCGTTGTGTGTCGCTATGATAACCCAGCACGTACTAGAAGGGAAGATCCACCTACTCGTGCGGCGATGTCGTGGCGGCGCCGCGGCGCTCTCAAGACTGCAGAAACGCCCGTGTCGTCGTGTTTGTTTACTTCGACTACAGTGGTGATTTCTAAGCATTTATGTCCTCGAACATTGCCCGGATTTCTTATTTGGCGCACTTTATGCGTGTGCTCAAGTTCAAGGTATTACTGGCGTGTACCGTATGAAGGATGCGAATTTTCACGCGTTTTCATCTCCGGAGAAAAGTGATTAGGGTTAGCAATACTGAACGCTCGCAACGTCCGTCCGCAACCCGTGGCGCCGTTAAAAGGCTGCGCCAGGCAAAAGCCGCTCATTTCTTTCAAAATGTGTGACACGCTTGAAACAGAACTGTACTAGTCTGGTGAAATAAAGACTTTCATCAAACTAAGCTGTTTTTTGCATCTAACATAAAATAAATTCTTTTACAAAGGTAAGTTGTCTTATGGCATGTATTTTGGCCTGAAAAATTGATGTTTTGGTTATAGCGCGGTACCGCTTATAGTGCGGATTTTCGCGACTCCCGCGACATACGTTATATGCGGTCTACACTTTGGAAAAATAACATTAATTATCTCTCCCTTTTTGAACATTTAGTGTGTTTGACTTCCAATCCATCGTGTGAGCACAGAGTCCTTTTTAGCGTACCCTGCAACTTGATGTTTCACACTGCCAATCAACAAACAGAAAAACACTTTTACGCAGACTCCACAGCTCGCGTAGTTTCGAGTACCGTCCTTCCGCAATAAACGGTTATGTGAACTTTATAATGTAAAATTTATTGATCAATATAAAATATATTTAATTACTAACTGAATATTTGACAACATAAATAGAAGGCCGACCACCCTAAAGCAATGCCCCCCAAATTATTTCAAAGGTGTTCTGCCAATCTTTTCCGGCGTTTTTATCCTCGACAGGCACGTTGTAAGTTATATGGGACGGCCTTACATACATCTCTGATTTTGAAGCAAATTTATATAACTACGTGTTTCTCACACATATAACTTCTCAGATATATAGGAGTCTCTTATTGCCTCTTTTATATGGTGAACATTACTTTTGTGTGTCTGTGGGCTGCATGAAAACAAAGTGAACAGGGGCGCGCGGCGGAACTATGACCATTAAAGGGACAATGAAGGCGATTTTAATTATTTTTTTTAAATGGCGTTTTCAGGCTTCTTGGAAACCTGGCATACTGCCCAATTTTTTATAGACATTTGTGACGCGTATTTCTGTACCTACGAAAGAACTGAAGAAACCGAAACTGAACTATCTGCGTTTCTCGTTTTTGGGCCTCCGAAAACGGAGGTGACGTAGGGAGTGACGTCACATGTGAATTGTCGGTACCGGCAGCATTTAGGGCGTCGAGACTCTGGTTACCGCGGTAGGTTATAGCATCGCGGTGGCGCGGTCGTTTCGTCGAACCAAAATGGACCGCAATGCCTCTCTCGCGACCGAATTCGGGCTCCAGTTCAGTGACCTGACACCAACAGAACGGGAGATGTGCCTAAGGACACAAAACTCTGGAATGGCTCTTTACGAGGACGCCCCAGAATTGCCGCCGACCCAGACTGATTCGCCTCACACCTACGCCCAGACTCCGGCTAACCTGAAGGTTCTGTTCAAAGTCTCCTGACCGAAAACGTAGCGAACAAATTCTGACGCCATCGCCGAGACCTCTGCGCAAGACAACGCTGTTCAACCAGAGACTTCGCAATGCTTCATCGCTTGGGAGTAGGTGAAAACTAGCGTCGCCCGAACGATCACAGGTCTTCAGTCGACCGTTTGAACATCCTTCAACTGCGCACAAATTTGGCATGACTACCGTTTTGCAAATTCCCTCGAGTGCCGTGTTCCTAAAGTAAACACGGCACCGACATCTGAAACCAGAACCAAAAAAACTCCCGCGTGCTCCGCGCTGTGTTCTTTATTTTGTAGATTTTGTTTGCTCATAGTTGCTCGTTGCCCGCTTCGCGTGCAGTGTAGCAAAGAGAAAAATAATTATGGTGTTTTGTTTACGGTTTAGTTAAAGATTTCGATTCAATTGATAGTTTTCATGGTTATTCAAGTGGAATTAGAACAGTGTTCATAAAAACCACGAACCAAAGCGTGACCAAGGGCACGTTTCTCGTTTCGACTAATCGCTGAAACGTCTCTTGTGACGTCACGCTTCCAGGCCCCGCGGGGTCACGTTACCTCCGCTTCTGCTGGTTTCTCCCGCAACACTCGGGGCGTCGCCTCGATCGATCCCGGTACGATTATTACCGCGACTGTTTAATTGATTTGCGCGGCACACAAGCGCCGGTTTCAGCTGAAATTTGGGCATCGTGGCATGAGGCGTGCCGGGAACCCAGTTCAATCGCCAAAAAAATATCCGAAATTGCCTTCATAGTCCCTTTAAGCACGCAAATCGTCAGAAAGTGTCCAATTAAGTAGCTTCAATGTCGAGTAGAACGTGATATACTACTTCGTTTTACTTAACATACAAGAATCTTGAAGGACGCTTAAGCTTCGCCTTTAAAAGTGTAACGCGATAGCGTCAACGGGCCTCGTTTGCATCGCACTCTCATTTGCTGCGCAAGCGTGCCTCGCGTGGCCTAGTGAAAAGCGGCTGACTCGCAAGTAAAGGGTCGTGGGTTCGAATCCCACCTAAAGTTCTTAATTTTTTTCTTTAAGGCAAAGAAATTACTTTCAAAGGTGAAATCATTTTAAACAAACGGCAACCTTCAATTTGCATTACATGTCGTGTTTTAATCACTCTCATTCCACGCATGATGTCACCTTTCACATAAGCATTGTGGGTGGTTTGAAATTCTTGCGCGAGGGTATGTAGCTTTGACGTCATGAACCTATTGACCAATCAGAATTTTTTAGTCACCCCACCAACATCGGCTTTTTTGCGACATAAGCTCCTTAACGCTATCGTGTTAAAATCATCAATTAGCAAGGGTGATGCTCATTTGCAAATTAAATTGTCCGGCATCTTGTCAAGAACAAACCTCAACAGCCAGGCTATGCCAGCTTATTCTGTATAAGAAAATGTTCACTTGGGCAAGCGCTATTTCGGCCAGATTCGATCTGAGTGCGAAGATGCGTATATATTAGTGAACAATTGCGATGACTTCTTGCTGCATGATTAGTCGCATGCATGCGGTGCTGAGTGTAAACAATGTTAGGTTAGAACAGGCATTTGGACTGCCGCTCGGTGTTTCTATAAAAAAAAAATAGACTGAAAAAAATTATCCTAAATCTTTTGTTATATTTTGAAAATTGAATTGTTTTTAGCTCAGTTGGGTCGTCATCCTATACATATATATTATGAAGTGTATTTCGGAAACCTTATTTTATGATATATGTGGCTACGAGGTGCTCATTTCATAATTTTATGTGATGTAATTAATTCCTTAGTTCAAGGACACGATTTCACTTTTAATACTGCGACACAAAGTCGAACCAATCATGGGTATTTTAGACGACCTACCACACTTCGCGACAACATTTTATACCGTGTAAATAGATCAGCTTGAACTTTAGAATTTTACTTAAATAGGAAGAAAGGACAAGAAAATACAGTATAGTTCTAAATTAGAAGCTGATCTATTTACAGGTATGTACCAACAAGCTCAACTCTTTACTCTTGTACTTAAACTGTTTGATTCAGGTAAAATATATTTTACTGGTAAACAAAGGGATGTTGAGTCGTATGAACACGACGTTATGTATGTTAATGTAGATTTTCTTCTACTCTTGCGTCAAAATTAAATAAATGAATTTAATATTTTTGGTACCTAAAAACAAAAGTAAATTGCACGGACGATCGAAGAAACTATATAGTTAATCGTTTCACGGCGTAAATAGTGTATATTGCCAGAACAACGCGGAGAATATATTGTCAATTTAGCAATTCAAACCGGTTCGAACCGGTTTGAACCATTATTTTTTGCTCCCCGGAACTGAACCGGAACCGAACCGAAAGCCGTGAACTGGAACCGGAACCGAACCGATAAAAATTTCGGTTCGACACCCTGATTACAGGACTCCACCCGTAAGGACAATCACCATGACAAAAGGGTAAACCTGTGCAAACCAACCTTGAAGCTATGAAATGGAGAACAATCAACCCTACTCACTAGGCACATATGACTTATTTTATCTTTGTGGGACAGTCAGCATCAAACAATAAGTTTTATTGCTTAGCTTGACTGATGGTTGAGGGCTTGAAGGACCCTAGGAAAACCTCCAGGCACCCCAAAAGGCTGCGGACCCCACTTGACAACCTCAGGTCTATGTCTTACAAATTTCCGACAGGGAGCGTAAAACATAGCCAGCACATCCCCCTAAAACCAATTCTTCTGCCCGCAATAATGCAGTCATGATTTGGATCCTGAAAGTCAGTTTGGCTCTTTGTGAGTAGAGCGTATGTCACGTGGGTGCCTTTACCAGAGGAGAGGCAGCTAGGCCAAGGTACCATGGGAAAGCACGGGGCTGCGAGTCTCACCTGTCCCTGTAGCCAAACTTGCCCACCAAGTACTGGGACAGGTTCTCCAGGATGGGTTCACTGTGCAGGGCCACAAACTGCTCCCGGCACATCTGCACACACAAGGGGAGCGAAGGCGCTCAGAACATTTATCCACATTGCACATGCACTCGGATGCGTTCGAGCTTAACGTCTTTCACAGATCTGGGCACAGATGCCGAAAACCTAATGAACAAAAAAAAAAAATATTTTTTTTTTTTTTTTTTATGCAGTAAGAAGTTTTGTGGTTAATGCAAGTTAGAACAAATGACAAATTACGAAAATTCTTGGGTTTCATTTGTTTTGAGTGGTGATGTGTGACATGAAATTTTTACCCTTCCCATTTTCTGGGAAATTGCTTTCTTCTTTTGCACCTGTTAAAGGGACGCTGCACTCCCTACTGGACACACACAGTTTCGTGACATAATGCGGCGAGGTGCAATTAGAAAGGTCTGTACAGGTTGCTCTTCCTTTCCACTTTTCTCTCCCAGATTTTTTACAGAGCGCAGAGAAGAGCGCACGGCGGCATGCACAAACAGACGTACCTCTCTTCTTCATTCCTACCTGCCAACAGGAGGCCTCACAAAGTGGCTCCTGTTCGAACATTACCACAAAGTTGACCTCGATATAAGGGTGGATAAAACTGCATAAAACTCAAAAAGATTCTGCGGCGTAAATATTGCGTTAATCGTTCCTTTCTTCGGGGAAGGTGCATCTTGCGATGTACATGGCCTGTCCGGGCAATTTTGAAAGGATGTCTTTGTGGGAGTGCAATGTCTCTCTTAAGTCCTTGGTGAGGCAATTTGTGAAGCGAGTAAGGTTTACTCTAGAACCAAAAAAAATTTTATATATTTTTTCGTGCACCTAAAACTGTACCTTGCATTGTAGTAGCAGTTCTATTGTTTAAATGCAAATCTGGTACTCTGCAGAAATATGTCGCCCTATTTGATAAAATAAAGCCATCAGCAACAATCATAATAACCATGACAACGTTTTGAAACAGTAAAAAAGCAGGTCTCGCAAAAGTCCTAAGAATAAAGAAAACAGTGCGAACAGGACCCAGGGACAAGGGGAAGGCATACACATGCCTTCCACTTGTCACTGTGCCCTTTGTGCGCTTTATTTTTATTGTGCACCGACTCGCCTAAACTATACACCTTGCCTACACACCTTCTGAGAAATCATTGACCATGTTAAAGTCAGTAGTGATGTCCTTACTAGGAAGAGAGAGATAATAATGTATGACTACACCCTTTTTTGAAGCACAAGTGCAACGAGTGTTTCACGCGCGTGACCTTGGTGTGATTGTAGACTCGAGATTTGATCTTCGTTTACATGTTTCTCGTACTGTTAGTCATGGTCTCCGCTGCTTTGGCATCATTTCGCGGTTGACAAGTGTCCTGAGTGTCTGTTAACCTTGTACTGTGCACTTGTTAGATCGCATCTTGAATTTGCGTCTGTAATATGGAACTATATTGCGATGTCACACAGCAATTTAATTGAAAATGTTCAGCGTAGATTTATACAAATTTTACATGATCAGCACATTGGCCGCCACCGATATTACGGCTACAACTCTATTGTGGTGGACCTCAATCGTTTAACTCTGCATAATAGAAGAATTGCTAGAGATATGCACTTTTTACATCAGGCACGGTGTTATTGACTGTTCAACGTTGCTGATGGCCTTGAGATTCTGTGTGCCCTCTGTGCAGTCATCCAGCTGCCGAGACACTTTTTATCCTGACGTGCGATCAATCTGACCGATGACATGATTGCAACAAACCTATAATGCCTTGTTTTTAGACAATGACATTTTTGTTTGATTTTATTACTTGAAAAACATGCATTTATCTTAAGTATTCACTCACTGGACAGTGCACTGCTGCCCAAGCCACTTCGCTGTTGGCAGGAACTTAATAAAATTATCTATCTACTTAAGGACCTTTATCACTGTTTCTATAACTATATTGCCCTATTAATGGCACTCGAGGTATACCAAAATATTGCCTAGTCATCCTGACTCACATGGTGCCAAGGAACCTCCACAGTTTGGGACAGTGTACGTAAGCAAATGAGGCTGTCCTTTAGACATCACTGTTACCTTTTCACAAAACATCTCTTCCATATAGCCCAGGAAACCTGTGGCACAATGCCTGAGAGAATGAAAGGGGCGCTCACCTTGTTCATGATGTCAACGGTGTTCGGGTGAGTCCAGAAGCAGTCGTGCACCGACACAAACTGGATGCCAGCCCTGCGATCGGAAACAAATCGGTGCTGCGTGTGACCACATCGAGTATTTGGCTGGGGTCGTCGATAGGCCTTTTGCCAAGTTACCCGAGCAACAAGAAGCATGCTGCGAGCGTACCAGTTACATGCGCCGCACGTGCTGGCATCAGCATCAGTAACTGTTCCAAAGCAGAAACCTAATTGTGAGCGCATTTCCAAATGGCTCTTTTTTATTTGCTTCAAATGCTTTATAAGGACAAAGTGAGCCTGTGCAGCGCATGTACTTAAGGTTCCAGCGTTTACCTCAATGCTCGAGTAACTATGTGCCCTTGCGAAGGAACGTGAGTAACAAGGTTATTCGACACGGTGAAACTAAAGAATGCCGATGTCTATGGCATAGGGACCCAATGGCTGTGCTCAGTGGCAGTTCCAGAATTAGGGATGTTCTGACTCTGTCGACTTGGCGGCAAAAACCAAATTCTGGCACGTGCTATTGCAGAGTTTTCAACTGTGCACGAAAACATCAAACTAAAGCTACGTGTTTACTGCAAAACTTTGAACGAGTGCCCACCCCTGGAAGATTAGCAACCCCTTTTTTCAATTAAATAGTAGTACAACAAAGTCAGTAAAATATGCGAGTTAGTTCATTACATTTAAATTTCACTACATGCAAGGATGTTTCCAAAGCAGCGAGTTTCTAATTCCAGAGTAATGTATGTTTGGCGCGTGTAATGACCTAAAATAAGACTGGCTCGTGGGGAAAATAGACTGACTCTCGTTTGAGTCTTGTTAGAGAGTGTCTTCTGGGGCACACTGTATTCCAGGACTTGCAAAGCTTGCAGACATCTGATTGTTCTTAGATCCCGCTTATAGCAGAATCATGGGACGGATGAAGTCACAATTTTCAACTGCGGATCGTGTATCACGTACGTCAACAATCCCTAAAATCCACATCTCGTCACTGGACGAGAGTTTCTCGCAACAATAAAGCACGTAGCAAAATAAAAGATGGTAAATTACTCTTTCGTCACGCAATTCTTAGTCCTACTCAAGATAGAAGCGGCAGCAACAGTTCCCAGCTGATACGCAGCAGGTTCGTGCCTATGTCGAGAGGCTTCTGCCAAAGCTTGTTTAAGACGCTGCAATCCGTACAGCTTCGGAGCATTTTGTAGCAGTCAATGGTTCCTCCTCATTGTGATGCGCTGGCACCGAGGTCATCGCAGTCAAACGTCACTTTTGCTCACCCTCCGTCGTGACGACTATTCTTGGACAAGAGTGCGCCAAAAGCCTTTCAAAGACATGCACTCATCTGCTCCGTGCGAATGCTCTTCGGAGATGGATGATCCGCGGACTTGTCATCACAACACGATCAATCTTTTCGCAGTACCTCGTGCAAATCTACCCATACTGCCCAACACGCCGATTGTGCAGAACGCTTGGCAGGTGCTCGAAACCTCACAAGAGTCTCGGGAGTCAGCGTCACACTGTTTATCCTGTTTGCGTCGATGAAGTACCGGATGGAGACGCAATCGCAGCGAAGTTCCACGAGCTATGAGAAGGTTTATTTTTAGGAAAGCTGCGGGTTTTATGGGCCGCACGGGTGGCACCCCGGCGGTGCTAGAGCTGCCCACGCTGCCAAAGCTGATGCAGCCTTAGGCTGGCAAAGCCAACTTATCACGCAACCTGCTTTAAGGAGTTCCCAAGAACGTCATTGTCGGTCATCTCTTCCTTTGCTGCCTTCATGGTGCCTGGAATGCATTTTCAATCTGTGTGTTTAGCGTCCTATTCCGCCCATGTGTCGAAAGTGTTCCCGAAGAGGCACAAATGACGTCACAGAAGCCGGAGTGCCACGCCGTCGGACGTCGTGATCCGAGCAGTTGGTCGTAGAAAGGCCAGCGAATAGAACGAGTGAATGTGAGTGTCGCGGTTGTCACAGCGTCGCAATTCCTGGGTGCTGAAACTTCCGTGGACCGTCGGGCTAGAGATTGACCTGCAGCGGAGAGGCGTCTGCCATATCCACCACCGCTGCTGGGACGATGTCAGGATAGTGGCCAGCGACGGCGTGTCAATTCTAAGACATCACCGGGCGAAAATCGAGGGACCACTTTTTTTCGGTGCGGTAGACACACCGGTCGGGAATGCGCTCCAGACACCATACTACGATGCACGGATCGTTATAGAGAAAGGGTGCGCTCCTTCGCTTCAAAGATTTTAGAAAGCGAATTTTGGCGTATTGCAAATAAACAGCACTCATCTTTTTGTCCGGATTGCACAAATTGTCGAAAAATTCACAGGGTCTCTTACGTTATCCCCAAGACCACTTGAAGGCGAAAGCTTAAGCACCCATGCATTAAAGACAGACACATGATTTACTTAATTCACTTTGATTCCTCTTAAGGGGGGACACGGCTCCCTGAAACAAAAAATGACAAAAAAATCACATTTTTGAAATTACGTTTTTTAATATCTACAGGTATTTTCGCATCTTTTCTCAAAGTATTATCGCAAAATACGCCCTATTTATTTTGGGGTATTGATTTGAAGTATCTAAACGGAGATGCTTCCTCCGAAAAAAGGAAAAAAAAAGAAGTACAATTTGACCGCCGGTAGCTCGAGAACAACGCGATAGAAGGGGGGCATCTTGGTCTCATTTGAAAGCTCCGCTCCCGCTCTTTCTTCTCCTGCCATTCACGATGCTAGACGGCGATTGGCTGCCGAGAACGAAGCACAAATAAAAAACTAAATCTTGCCACGCGGTTGGCTATTTCAGATCACGTGCGCAAATGGCGCTTTCTCACTGGCCGTTAGGGTTACGAAGCGTCTGCTCGTTGTTTCCGATCCGCCATCTTGTTTGATTCTCGTGCGCGTCTCTGACCATGCCGATCACAACAACTCCACGGAGAAAGTTTCACACGGGTCCATATCACAAGAGCGAATGACATTTTAGTGAACAGCCACATTTGAGCGAATGAACGTTTTAGCGAATAACAGGGGCGCGCGTTAACCCATCCGTCGTGCTGCGCTTTACGCCGCTTCGCGGCGACAGTCTGCGGCAGCTCATTACAAAAATATTAACCCACTTGGCCCACCCGAAACGTCCGACTATTCGCTAAAGTGTCGTTCGGCGAAACGTGGGCGTTCGCTAAAACACCATTCGATCAAGTGAGTACCTCCCTCCGCGAGCCTGAACGTCGACGACAAGGTGCGGGAGCCCGAACACGAAGATGTCGCATCGACGGTGTTGTCGACATCCTGACTTCAAGCGAGCGAGTGCGGCTCGACACGGTGATGCTCAGCGCTTCCGAGATCGACGAGAAAGAAAAAAAAAGCCGAGGAAAAACTAAAAAAACTTTCATCGACGTCCGCTACGACGCGGAAAGCTGCCCTGATGGCCGGCGTCTCGGGCGCCGATCAAGAAGCTCCCGAGAGAGAGTTTCGGTACTCTCAAGCTATGTTGCAAGATCTGCGAGGTTGTCGCATCCGAGTGGAGTTCGCCGCGGGTAGCAATAAAAATCTGTCCGTGAACGTTTTTTGCTGTTTTCTTGAAATGAACTTTTTGCGCAGTTTGCTATTTTGCGGAAGCCGTATCTCAACCTCTACACAACCGATCTTCCTAATTATTTCTTTGTTTGGTAGGTGTATAAGTGGGGTATCCAATAAGGGGTCTAATTGTATCAACCTAGGCATCAGTATTTTTTGTTAGCACCTCCAATATACAGGGTGTCACAAAAAAAAATTTACACTGTCTTTTTTACCGCAAAAATAAACTAGGCATCGCCGAACGCTCATTTTCTGCCCAAAGGTAGCCGCTAGAGGTCACAACCAGATGCCAAAGTTTCAGCCCGATCCGATAATTTAATCAAAAGTTATAAGTGATTTTCTGAAAATTTCAATGGGAAAATGGCGGCCGGCCGAGTTTTCAAACACATGGGGCTCTATGACACACCAGAAACCGAAAACTGGCAAAAATGGGCTCCATTTTCCCATTGAAATTTTCACAAAATCACTAATAACTTTTGATTAAGTTATCGGATCGAGCTGAAACTTTGGCATCTGGTTGTGACCTCAAGCTCTACCTTTGGGCGGAGAATGAGCGTTCGGCGATGCCTAGTTTATTTTTGCGGTAAAAAAGACCGTGTAAATTTTCTTTTGTGACACCCTGTAGATTGTAAAAAGTAATTTTTTAAACTGAAAATTTCGAAATGCCATAAAAATGTTATAAATAATCGTGGAGCCTTCATTTATACCTTATTGGATTCTGTAGCCTTCTACTTTACAGAGATATATTCCTTTTTGAGTTTTGTCTTCATAATTTTTTGGAATCTCGGCCATAAAATGTTCAAATAAAATAGTTAATTTTATCAAAACTAACCAAGCTATTTTAAAACAAAGTACATATTTGTCATCATAATGGGAAGATGGTTATGCTCTATAAATTTCATTTGGATTGGCCCATAAATAAAAAAAAGCTCAAGAAGCAGTGTTTCCCCTTTCACTTTGTCGTCCTTAATATCATTGCCTCTAATTCGCCTGAGTAAACGTGATAGTGAACCTCCGAAGACAGCGCGCTCCCTGACGACACACTTTTGGCGCCATTTCATTGGTACCATTCGTGTCGCCGACGTGTTTTCAGAAGGTTGACTGAACGATGAGACATATAAGGCTTTCACCTTAATAAATTTTAGTTTGCTGCATTTGAGACGTGTCATATGCATGGGTATCTGCAGAACTTTTTTCAAGGGGGAGGGGAAGGGTAGGGGGATGCAAGTTCTTTTTAAACGGTAGCAACCCTGGATTTACGGGACAAAAACGTTGCAGTTGCGAGCCAGCATTGGTCAAACGGGCATATGTTTCAGTAGGATGGGAGTGCTTTGGTCATATTATTCTGCTTTCATCGATATTCGACTATAAAAACTTGCACAATACTACTAGTTGACTATTGATAGTATGCTATAACTTTTATGATAGTCAACTATCGATAGTGCACTATCGATAGTTTTACAATAGCCGGATCGATAGGTAAATTTGGCTTTCACCATCGATAGTATCGATAGTTTGACGCCACTAGTTCACACCCACAAGAAACATGTCGCAATGGAAACCATACTGCGACGGAAATGCTTTTTACGTGGGAAGCGCGAAAATTTTACATAGCGAAGTAAATTGTAAGTTTCAATGATTTCGTTATAACGACGTGTTACCGCATACTCTGTTTTGCCTTACGATGTACCGCAGCAGATGCTACAAGCCACTTTGGCCAATCCAGCGCTCATGGCTTGCCGCGATGCGAGCACACGCTCCACGCGTCCTCTGCCCAACCAAAAGGCCATGCGGCACGCTTCGTACCGCGCGTTGGTTCCGGTTGCTCAAAGCGTTTGTTGCGGTCCGTCGCAAGGCCACATGAAGTACGGTGGGCCTCGAGTGCGCGGTCGACAACGGGTCTTGACGCTTCGTCACTTACTTGTGGCAGAAGAGGGCAGTCAGCATCATGTGGCTAGAGTCCAGGGAGTGGATGAAGTTCGGTGGGAAGGCATTCTTCTGCTTCATCACGTTGGGCCGCCTGGGGCCCAGATGAACGAGGTTAGAAAGCTCGGATCGCGCTCCTGTCTTCGAGGCAGCAGCCGCACTTCTTTGTACAAGTTGATGTTTCGTTAAGAGTTTAAGCACGACACGTCAGCAAAGAATTCCGCAAGTGTGTCTCAACTTTGAAGAACATTTGGCTGCATGACCCTGGCTATTCCAGGCTGAATCTACCCAAATGAAAGGAATTCAGTTTGCTTCGTGAAAAACAAAAAAACACTGCCGTAAACTGGCATTCAGTAAGAAGCGTAATAAAAAAACTACAACCACATCCACCGCGATTGCGGCCAACCTAAATACCGTACCACCCTTTTACCTCGAAACTTACAGTAAAATTTGGAGCTTCCCTGTAATTGTGTGAAAAACTTTCATGCAGGAATTAATTAATTACATAAAAAAGTTTAAGCTCCTTTTATAACTGGCAAGCAACGAATGAACCATCTGATCCCAGGAGCAAGGAAAGAGGCGCTCCTCTAAGGCCCAAGATGAAAGCACATACTCACTGGTACATTTCAAAGCTGGACCAGTAATCCTGGGGGATTCTGTCGCCCTGCACAGAACAAGCTCCTCACATCTCTGCTGTTGCAAAATGGGAAAGCGTCTGATGACAGGACCTCCTGCCAGCTGTTCCAAAATTAGAAAGTGAAATATATAACATTTCCAGGAACGTATGTTACAATACTGGGTCTTGTAAAATGTGGGTGGAAACGTGAGGTTGGAGTTGTTAGCCTAGTACTGGAAACGGCTACTGCAGGTGGCTTTCCAAAGGCAAAATGCAACGCCATCATGCAGATGGCTCATTTCTGCAGATGCACATCCCAAAGATAAAAAAGATGTCTCGCACTCAGCTAGTGCACTAACTGTCTATATTTTTTCTTTCTTTCTATAATTACGTTGATTTGCTGCACGGAGTATGATCGAAGGTAAAAGTAAATGGAACATGTCCCAGTTCGTTACACGACACGGGTGGCGGAGGTGGCAGAACCGACCCGAGTGCTGACCTAGATGGAGGGGGTAATGATCACTACCCCAAAAGTCTAGATCTTGATCCCAGCTGATGGGGACATGCCCAAGCCACCACGCAAGGTCAAAAGAGGGAGAAAAATTGCACGGACAATCACGCGACGTGATGCAAATGAACAGCGTCAGCTGATGCGAAATTTTGATGGTATGTGTATTGCGTCGTGATTTAACTAGAAATTTCCGTGATGTAGCGTTGCGCAATAATATAACATTTAATTTGTTTTTGTTTTTTTTCATCGCCTAGTGATTGTTAAATGTGTGCTACGTGTCCACACACGAATACTGCGTAGGCATGTTTGTGCCTAGCCAAACCAGTCGAAACAGACAGCACCACCAGTCACCCAGGATTGGGTTACCACTCCCGGGTAAACACCTGGCATCACCAGTCTGCCAATGACTGGTGATGCCAGGTGCTTGCTAGCTGCAACATCAAAGTTATGGAGTTTTCCCTTCATTAGAACACCTTCGGGCCGTTATGCAATCCACTGCGACAGGTGCTCCTCTTTATTTAATGACATGAAAATATTTGGATGCCACCACAACAAAAGTCAAGAGAAAGATATATTAAGCTTTTTTTTATTACTATGCACAACAAGGACATGTGTATGTGTGTCAGTGCTGCATCTACAACCTACCAAGTTCGGGGATACCGAATCCGGGAGATTTTCTAAGCTCGAATCCGGGAGATTTTCTAAGCTGAGCTAGGGAGGAAAGGAAGGTGCAACATTTTTTTTTAGGAAATAATGACTGAATTTACATGAAGGCAACTTCATAACATTTTTATTGCACTGCACACGCTAGTGAGATACAGCTCGGCCTCACTATCATTGCTGCCATCAGTTGCAACAGTTACACTCTTTGTTGAAGTGCGGGGGAGGGGGAGCAGGGAGTTAACTTGAGCTTTTCGGGAGATTTTCCTGTCAATTGTACAACCGAAATAGTCAAAATCCGGAAGTCTTCCTGTGAAAGGTGCACCTGCCCAAAAGGTTCGCGAGTTTTAGTCTCCAGAGTATGAAGTTACGTGTTCCGACATGAGAAACTATTAAAAAAGAAATAATATGCAAGATATGAAATTTCTTTCTTGAACTACAATACGACAAATATCTATCTACAGAAAAGGCAGCGTTTGTATTTTCTCAACTGATAATTGTGGCTTCCTGTGCGAGGTGCACCTGACTAACTTGTCAGCGTGTGAAAGAATCGTGGATTTTGATAATTACAATTCAAGAGAAGTATTACCTTGAAATCACGATACTGCACCTCTGGAGTACGTATTTTATCTCATAAAAGGTTTGCAGCGTTGTGAAAGGTTCCGAGACCGAAATCTCTGTTTGGGTAACAAGTTTTCATTCGCGATGGGAAACTGTTGTTAGGAGGAACTTCAAATGCATTTAACTCGACAATAAACGACAATGTGAGAATTTTCTCAGGGAATAAGCTAAAGATAGTGCATTAAAATAACAGCCCTTATTTTAGTTTTCTAAAGCGGTTTTTCTTTCTTCAAGGGAGCTAGACATCTGCGCTTTTCCGACGATCCTGAAAACCGTGCCAGGAGACTTGGCCGGTATGTATCTAACTATTTCAGGTGAGGAGAGAAGAATTTTATAAGGAAGTGTGATGCGTACGTACAACAATGGTTTTTATGCGTAGAGTGGGTGAAACTCGTACTACTAGTCCTCGTCTGTTGCGCTATTTGCGTCTCGCTACGTCTATCCGAATAGCCGAAAAGTTCGCGCTGGCTCGGTCTCGGAGGAAGAGAGGGAAGGAGGACTCACGAAGGACACTGGGCTCCGGACGGAGGCATTCTTGTGGTACGGCTGGACGACAGGCAGTCCCAGAGGGGTGACCCACTCCACGGGCTGCCCACATACCTGCGATATCAGCTTGGCACTGCTCGTCAGCCACTCCTGCGGGCAGAGGAGAGGCAACCGTCGAGCCCTACTCGTGCCTCACAAGACACCCACAGAGAAAAAGACTTGACCCCCCCCTCGATCCTCGCGAGGAGGTGCAACCGGAGGCGGAAGGTTCTCACTCTTTCTGAGTCCGCGTCTCCACGATTGTACAAAAAGCGATCTAAGTAAATACCAATTCGGCATGCGTACAGTGAGCAGGTCGACGAAAATGCCTCTTTCCACGCGCGAGAGAAGGAGGTGCAAAAAGGAGAGAGGGGGTGATCGCACGTGCGATCAAGCCCTGCCCTTGCAGACAAAATTTTCTTCACAGGATAGCAACAACTTCTCGGTCGCGAGTTCTTTGTTTATTACTGCATGTCTGGTAAGTGTTAGTTGACAAAAAATAATGTATCCTTCGAAGTATTTGCTGTGCCCTTTCTCGAAGGCCGAGTCCTCGTTCGTTACGAAGGGGTGCACTTCCGATGACCGTAGAAAAGGCGAGGCAGCCATTGGTACGACTAGCAGACACATTTGTTTTTTAGTGCCCTCTATGTCCTCCGAGTGGAGCTTGGCACTGCAAAGCTGTACCCTCTGTGCAAGTGGCTAACGAACTTGCTCACCGCACTAAACCAAAGTGAGTATTGCTAGCGAAGAACTAAATTCGAGGGATTGCATTGGAAAGCTTTTCCACAAACAATCTGGCCACTCCATGGGCGACGGTCCCCGCACTATGGCCACTTTGCGGGAAAAGTACACTGAATGGCATTTTCGCCAGAGAGCTCTTGTGTCACGGAAATAGTGCGCACAACAGAACTATACCATCTATCTGAGCAAACATTTTGCAAAGGTTTTATGCAATTAACCCAGAAAAACACAATAATATCACTACATTTTACTTGATTAAGGTTTTTCATATCCAAATTTGACGAGGTAAACAGCGATTTCCAAAGACAGACTTATAACCCTGGAACGTGGACCGTATTGAGGGTCCCTCAGAATCCAAAGGGATTACAGGATTTTCGAGACGACACTTCCAAATTTGACAGTACTCAATGTCTTTGATACTGCGTGCACACCCTCCCAAGAAGGAATTCTGGCGAAGACGGGACTGTTTAGGCAGATGCTGGCATCCTTCCTTGCCACTTCACCCTTAGGCTAGCCGCAAAGAAGAAAGCTAGATGCTGGATGTAGCAATCAGCTGTCCACCTAGCACTGCACAGCCATCTTTCCCGCCTTGCAATCAATGTCAGATAACATGCAATCCTGAAGTAAAAAATGCAACTGAAGTCTTTCAGTATAGACCTTAGTTAGTATTATGAGCACCAACCCCCTTAAGTTCTGGTCGACTATTAACTAGGGGTGTGCGAATATTCACAATTTTCGAATAACAAATAGAATATTACCCTATTCGATTTGGTAATCGAATCGAATAATAATTTTCGAAAGTTTCGAATATTTTTTTTTAATAATTTCCGAATAGTCGTTATGGTGTTGCGGAGCAAGATTATACTATTTCAGGTGTCCCGCAACGTGCCGGCGCGCCTGCCATGCGTGCCGCAAGATAGCAATAGGTACCCTCTTTTCCTAGGCAATAATCATCATCAACGGCAGCATCAGTTTCTCTCTCTTCGTACGCTGCTGTTGCTTCTACTTTCGCACAAGGCTGATTGTGGACGCTTTCAAAAAGTGTGTCATGGAGACGTTTCGGAACTGGTTGCAACGGTGCTGCTGCTCAGTATGAGCGAAGTAGAAGTGGTTGGAAGTGGGAAGTTATTTGAAGAGAAAGCGCACCGGAGTGTGGAAGTTATTTGATCGGTCCTGCGCAGCTTCGTCAAAGTGCCTTGTGTGTGGCGCCATCCTGAAAATGCCAACAAACACGACGATGTCTTTGTTGAATCACCTGAGGCGTCATCCAGGGGCCCACAAGGAGTATGAAAGCGCAGCTGCTGCGGCGGAGCAGCGTAATGCTCCAAAGTCCAAAAACGCAACTATGATGCCCGCTTTCGACCCCCGACTGAGTAATCAGAGCGTTCGAGTCAGGGCACTAACAAAGAAAATTGGCTGCTTCATTGCAACTGGCTTGCACAACAACACAGTTGTAGAAGAACCAGCTTTTCTGGAGCTTATGAAATGTGCAGTGCCTGAGTACAACATTTCTTCTCAAACGACGTTCTCGAGGACTGTTGTGCCGGAAATGTACGATGCTGCTAGGTATGCTCTCCACACTTGGCTGCACAGGTGTATCGCCATCACCACTGACGGCTGGACGTCACGAGCTGGCGTCAGTTATGTGTCAGTGACTTGCCATGTGCTGAGTGATGACTTCGTGCCTTACAGTTTTGTGCTTGCGTGCCGCTGTATGCATAAACGCCACACTGTGGAGAATCTGCGTTCTTTGATCGGGGACGTCTTTGAGGAGTGGGCCATATCTATGATGTTGTCTTGCTTTGTGGTAACTGATAATGCTCGGAACTTGGTTTCTGCGATTGCCCGAACGCCGTGGGTGCATATTGCATGTTTTGCACATAAGTTGCAGCTTTGCGGTCAAGATGCTCAGAAAGAAATCAGAGGGTTCACAAATGTGTGCACCAAAGCACAAGCCATAGTGGGGCATACAAAAGAGGATGGGCAAAGAAGTTCCTCTTGAGCTGGTACAAGATGTACCCACAAGATGTAACAGTGAGTAGGCCATTCTTGCACGCCTGCTGAAGCTCAAGGCCGCTGTTGCGTTGGACCTGGCAGAAACCGATACCGTTGAGAACTTGATCATGGACGAATTGCATCTTGTAACGGCCTTGGTATCAGCGCTGCAACCAACTGAAAAAGCCACAACAGCTGCTCGTGCCGAGTCTTTCCCAACACTTTCCATGGCTATTCCACTTGTTCACTGCGTGAAGACGTTGCTTTCTGAGGGTGCAAGAGAAACTGAAGACAAGGCGTTTTCCCAGAGTCTTCTCAGATCAGTGAAAACAAGGTTCCTGGACGTAAGCACACAGGCACCTCATGCCCTCGCTACGTTCCTTGATCCTCGATTTAAAGACATCTGCTACAGCAAGGAAGAAAAAGAGAATGTAGAGTTCCTACTAAGTACAATGCTTCAAGATGTACCAGACTCAACACAGCTCATGTCCAAAGAAAGTTGCGCCGAAGAGCAATATCAAACCAGTGAGCAGCCTTTAGTGTGGAAGATATTGAACCGCTTGACATTGTCGAAGAAGAATGATGCACCAAGTTGTCTAATGCAAGAGGTCTACGACTACCTTCAGTCCACTTATGCCACATACCTACAGCCCATTCCACTTGTGGAAAATTGTAGGCAAAGAAAGGTATAAGACCCTCGCATGTGCGACGCGACAATAGCTAGCAATTCACGCAACCCAGGTTGCAAGCGAGAAACTGTTCTCAACGTGCTCGAACACTGTGACAAGCCGTCGAGAGTCTCTCCCTGCAGAACACATGGAAAAGCTTGTTTCTTTGCATAAGAACTATAAGTATACCTCAAGCTGACGTAACAAGCCTTCTCATTTTCCGATCTGCGAAAATGAGATGTCTAGTGTACTGTTTCACCTCACTCACATATGGCTAGTGATAAGAAATCTGATAAGGTGCAAGATTCCCCCTTTCTTTTTTTTTATAGTTCGACGCGAACTGTGATCTTATGTTCAGCATTTACGTGAACCTTGATGTCATGCTTAGCATTCTAACAATTTAGTAGCTTTTGTCTCTATTTAATGATATATAGTTTAACTCTAGTCATTATCGTCTAGTTGCATTGTTACAATGATTTTAAGGAACATTTTAGAACAATAAACTAATTTTATAATCTGTACTCTTCTTCACTAGCAGTCTACTTATTATTCGAAAATTATTCGACTCGTATTCGATTCGGTGCCACAATTATTCGATTCATATTCGATCGGGTTTCCAAAATCACTATTCACACACCCCTACTATTAACCCAAAACAAAGTAAAAAGAGATAACAGTGAATGAGCTGATGATAATTAGTCACAATGAGAATATGGTGCAAAAAATGAAGAGACTTTCAAGGCAAAAAAAAAAAGACAACAGCAGGAGAATGTCTTAAACACAGCTAAAATCATTTATTTTCCTCGCTCCTTGTATACACTCAATGCCGATGTCACCGCCCTCTTCACTGATACACTTTGTGGGCACAGCCAGATGACCTCTTAGCATGAAGACCCGGCTACCGGTAGGCACATTCATCTAAGCTGTACAGCCCTTTCTCGCAATGGATATGACCCTGAGGCACTTTCTTTCACAATAAATTACAAAATCCCCTAAAAGGAGAAAAAAAAAAATAAAATTGATAGACAGACGACAATACAGGAGCACACTGGCCCCGGAGAAGCCCTAAAGGCCCTGTCACATCGAGAAAACACGGTGGGGACAGCAGCAGAACAAGCTCATCAACAACTGATCAACTTTGTTCTCAGCTGCCCTGTTGCCCGACAAACCTGTTACATCGCAAGAACATCAGCACAACACAGGCAACAGCTACAGTGTTGCCTTGGTGCGAGAGCTTTCGGCAACAAAAACAGCAGCAACTTGTGTTGGACGACGTGGTTGCCCAGGTCAGTGGATGAGCGAATTTTGTGTTGTCAACATGACAACACAGACAGCTTCGATAGCAGTTTCCCATCAATAACGTGTTTCTTTTAGGAGCTTACTCAAATAAAGGCCTGGAAAACAGTTTAACAATAATTTAGGTTGGCGTGCAGCTAAAATAATTTGATACTAAATGTTTTAACCCCTCAACCATTCTTTTTTTGCAATTTTTGATTCTAAACTGTTTTCTTTTTTATTGCATGTGCAGGTCTAGCTCTGCTTATCTCCGCAATCAGTCGCTATCCTTAAAAATGTGTGCAATAAAAAACATGTGCTGCCATCTCTGAGCAGCATCACAAACTAAGCTTTGAACGAGCCTGGGTCGCCCAAAACAGCCATGCAGATCGCCATATAGTGTCTCCCTTGTCCGTCCTACATCACCTCTTCTATCACTCACCATTAAAAAAATATATACATTGTCAAGCTGCCATCTATATTTCTTCGTGCACAGACAACTCATGCAAACTCCGTCTTACTATAGTCAAGACCAGTTATAACGAAGTCAACGGGAACCGGAAATCACTTCGCTATATCTGCTATTTCGTTATGACCAATTTAGGTCATAACGAAGGGCAAAAGGGAATGGGAAATCGTGATCGCTTCGCTGTAGCCGCTATTTCGTTATAACCGACTTCATTATAACCGGTCTCGACAGTATTTTTAAAACTATAACGGCTATAATAAATTACCTGCACTGCAGTTACAGTAAAACCTCGTTATAACAAAGTTGAAGGAGCGGTCGTAATTATTTCGTTATAACCATTAGTTTGTTATAGCCAATGTCCATTTCTTCCCACTATTAGCAAGCAGGGGGAATTATGATTGCTTTGTCATATCCAATTTTGTTATAACGAGGTTTTACTGTATTAGTTTCTAAGTGGAGTTCACTCCTAGATGACATTGTACCCTTACAGGATCCTACCAATTTTCAAAATGCTCTCATAGTAATTTTGGATGTTTTGTGCCCCCTGATGTGGAGCACCCTGTGGATGATTTAAGGAAACAATTAATTAAATTAATTAAACGAAAAAAGGTGTAAAAGTACCAAGAGCACAGTCACATGATCCAAGGTTGAATGGCCAGGCACTTCCGCAGATTCTTTTGCAATGTTAGAACATGGGGAACATGACAGCACAAGATGCATCAACTTCGCAGAAATTATGGCAAATGGCGAGCCCTACACAGTTTAGTCAGCATCATTAAATGACTGGGGTGTAGCAATTGGGGCTATGCGCGACACTCTAAAGATTCACAGAGAAAGAGACTAGTCAGGGATAACCTTTTAACTTTGCACATTTTTTAGTAAATGCTAAATTAACGGCTATACGGGTTCGTTCCTTGCATTTAAGGCGTCCAATCGCATAGCGATTGCCTTGGCATGCGGCACCGCACCTGTATCTCCCGGGTGGCGGTGAACATCTCCTGTAGTGAGAGGAAGGTCCGCTGAACCAGGTAGTGGGAGGCCGCCCAGCAGTGCTCCTGGGGGAAGTCCTCCAGGTCCTTGAGCTGCTTCATGATCTGCAGGTGGGCTCCAAAGCGGGTCACCCCGTACACCACCGTCATCACCGTCTGCTTCACCACCTGGGAACGCGCCGAGCGCTTCAGCTATGCTAGCCGGAACCGGCGCCGGAAGGCTGCTGTAGGCATGCCCATTGTACCCAGTCTTCAAATTCGGAATGGATGCACATGGCCAAACTCTTCAAAAGTGAGGGAGGTTTTCTTTTTATCTAATAAAAATATTTATACAGAGGAGCAAAAAAAAGATTGAGGTACACTTAAGCATTCCTTATGAGTTATGAATGCGAAAGCATACAAGCCGCTCGTCCGCTCCCTTTCTCGTCTGCTGCGTACTTTTCGTCGCCAGTCAGCGCGCGTGCTCCCCTGGTGACCTTGGACGCTCCGCGCTGATGGACACGCAGCGCCATGGGGTGAGCGGTCGTGGAAACTGACGAGCACAGCGGCCAGTGGGAGCCCCGTTGACGCGCGCCAGCCAATGGAATCGAAGGAAACTATCTGTCGTTTTCGCACTTCAAACTGATGACATCAACTCACTCCGTGAGACAGTTAATGCTTTCGCATTAAAATTTTAGGCATAATTGTAATGTTCAGTTTTCATCCCTCAACTTAACATTCACACCTGGAGGGAGAGCTTCCTCCACGCGACTAGAAGCAAAAACCATGAGTCCCGCGGTGCCCTGGTAATTCGTCCCTTGAAATCGCTATTCAGACAACCTCACTCGTGTCTCCTCTGGGCTGGAATTTCTTCGCTTCGGCCAAACCACTATTTGCTTCAAATTCGCTTCATACTCAATATCCACTAGCTGCACATGCCTGGCAAGAATAAATTGACAACTGGGGGAAGTTCTGAATACAAAGCGGCCTGTTTGACTTCCTACCAAAAATTCTGCGCACATGCTCGTAACAAACCCACTTTTAGGAAAATAGCAGTTATAATAAAAAAAGTGTGATTTCTTATTTCAATTTACATATTTTAAATGCAATATGGTTTGAGTTGCAACAAAGCAAATACAAGGTAGTCACAGCAAGAAAATTTTTCAGGCGACCGAATGCAAAAGGTTTATGTACAGTCGTCGCGGGAGTTAATAGCTCCACGCGAGCACGCATTTATTTCTGAGGGGCGCTCGACTGGTGACTTGCGATAAAACTAGAGATGACATCAGGGCGAGTTCATGCGGAGTGGATGAGGGAAGGCGCTCAATTCAAGGGAACCGTTGCTATCATCTGCCTAAGGGTGAGCGTAGTTCGAATGAAAATGGGAGATGATTCTGCAGAAGTTAGAAAATACGACGTGTTTCCTTCTTTCTTTCTAAACAGCCATCTCATTCGTGCTCGGCGATCTTGACTTCTGCAGAATCATCTCCCCTTTTCATTCGAACTACACTCAGGCCGTGCGGGCGTGCGAATGATAACAACGGTTCCCTTGAATTGAGACGGCTTCCCCCGTCCACTCCGCATGGACTCGCCCTGACGTCATCTCTAGTTTTATCAAAAGCCACCAGTCAAGCGCCCCTCGGAAAAAAACACGCGCTCGCGTGGCGCTATTAACTCCCGCGACGACTGTACTTTACAGAGCTTCTCCACAGACATAACATATATAGAGTGCAATCCACTTATAAGAATAATGAGAAAACCCAAAAATTTCAATCGTTATAATTGATTATCATTGTATCTGGACTAGAAACTGAGGATTTCTAGTCTCGAAAATCTAGAAACTGATCATCATAAGCGGTACATTGTTATCCATGGTATCGTTATAAGTGGGTTGCACTGCAGCAGAAAATCCCTCAATGCATGCACGCATATAGCAGAAACCCCCAGAATGCAATTACACAAACATGTAATTGCCGCCATACATGTACAGTGGCAACCCTCAAAGGGTTAATAATGAGCAACTTAACTTCCCCCATGCGACAGCACAACGGTGTTGTTTCGGGTCCTCTTAAAGACGTGTAGAGACATACCGGCATTTGGCTATAGAAGTCGCATTTCCCACTCCACGACATAAGCGGTATCATGTGGTATGGAATGTGCGAGGACGACGAGAGCGAACAAACGACATTTGAATAGTTCGGAATGCGGTACCACGCCAGAGGCAGCGGGGCGAGGAAGTAGAAGCCGTCAAGCGACGGATCCGAGCTCTCTCGACCTCGTTTTGGCTTGGCCTTCAACCCCACCCGGACCCGATCCTCCGCTGGAAGCTGGTGTACGTGTTCCCAGGGCACCTCATGGCAGTGCCCTCTTCCCAAACACGCCACCTCAAACGCCGCTTCACCTGGGATCTGCCTTCCTCGCCGGCACCTCATCGCCCCATGGCCACCCAGGTACCCGGAGCACACGGCAAGACAAGAAAGGGCCGAGTCTGCGCACTACCAAGTTCCTTTATGTGACCGCTATTGGAACGGAGTGTTGACATTGCAAGCTCCCTCTTTTCAAACACGCATTTGTGTCGCCCGTCGCTCGGAGTGCATCTCATTTGCAGTTTGCTTGCGAGATATAAGTGCGTTTCATTTTGGCGTTTCCAATGACTCCATGTCCCTTCGCTACATAAAGAAAAAAAAATAATAAATCCTCTGTCTAAATTACTGTCTTTTTATTACCATTTCGAGCGGTTGTACCATATATATTTACTGCAATGTGTAGAGCGAGACTCGTAACAGCGAGTCACCAAAACGTCGACGTCGTCGACGTGTTAAATGCAACGATGCACCAGACATACGATCGCATCTTCTCGAAGCATTGCTACGATCGCAGCTCAGCCGAAGTGTGCACCATTGGTCAACCCTGGTGGCAGAGTGCGTACCGTCGAACGATGGTGTGGCCGCCTCGACCGTCTCTTGGTTGAGGGGTAGGTGTTGCAGGATGGCTCACCTTGCGCTTGATGAACCCCTCGAGGACCTGGGCAATGGCCACGCCGTTGGCCGCATCCTTCGTCCGCTCCCGCTCCACCTGGAAGGAAGGCACCGGGGATGTCGCTGTTTCCCTCGGGATTTCCCACTTGGCTTCTAAGGATTTGCACGGTTTTGATACATTTTTAACCACTCTATGGTATATTGGTATACATTTTGTTTAATCACATTTACTGGTTGTCCACCCAATTACACCTTTAAAATTCCCCGACTTTTGCAGGTTTTCCCTGACTAAATATGGTTAAAATTGCACACAAACGGAAAAAAACAGAGGAATTAGTTCAATGAAAATCCCAAACCATTATGAAAGCCTAAAAATCCAGAAACTGCTGCTGAAGAATAATATTACCGTGAAATCCTGGGGAGCACCCACCCACTTTCGATGAGAACTGGGTAATCCAGACACGGGCGCTTGTCCGGTCAAATCGGGCGCTTAACGAATAATTTGCAGAATTCCCAAGTTTGGGAATTGTTAACAGTGGGCACTTGAAAGAAATGGGCATTTTCACGGTATATTACGATATATACAAGGGTGCTTCATTATTTAAAACAATTTATTCAAATTAAAAGAAGCAGAGGGTGAACACTGGCTTCAGCTGCATTTGTATTATCAAATAGCTACTATAGTACTGCCGTTTCTTACCACTCTCTGGTGCCTCTCCAACCCATGCCCCTACAAACAATGCCCTCGCACTTCGTTGCGCATCGCCGGGCTGTCTCCTTGGTCATTTCCCCTGACTTGGCCAACTTTTTTCAGATTCCCTGATAATTCCCAGACTTTTCCAGATGCTTTGGAATTCCCCGATAATTCCAGGTCTTCCAGCTTAATAGATAACCCAATGTATCGCTTGATAAGGATCCTAAAAAAGACACAGTTTCTCTCGATTGAAATTTATTAAGAAATACACTTGTGGAATGGCTTTTTACTTTATGGTCATCTTTAATAAAGAATGTGTCAAGTTTCTGTCAAGGGCACAGAAGGCCTTACAGCCATCTGATTTCACAGAGCAATGTTAAGGTGAATGTTTAATCATATATGCCTTATTACAAGTCTCGGATGATTCAACCAAGTGCCACAGTCTGACCACGCTGCATACAGGTTAATATCTAAAATCCTCGCCGAGAGCGCATCGATTCGATCGTTACAATATTTCACCACCAAAAGCTTAAGGGCCAAGTGTGGGAACCGCCAAATTCGTTTGCGGCGGTATTGAGGACGCAGACTGCTAGGTTCAACCGCCCACGCCGACACCTCGTCCGCGCGAAGGAGGAAGCTGAGGAAGAAGCCGAGAAGAAATCCGAAGAGGAAGTTGAGGAGGAAGTCAAGAGGAAGGCGAAAAGGAAGCCGAACCGGGGCTTCTCCCCGCTGGGAGCCTTAGGACCTCACCATGGCGGCCACCCCGCTGTACACGTCCTGGGGTCTGTCCTCGGGCAACAGGTTCACCTGGCGGGCCCCGTGGGCGTCCCTTCCCAGGGCCGCATAGTGTTGCAGGCCGTTGCACGACCCGTCTTGGTGTACGGGCAAGTGGCACACGTAGCGCCGGGGATCCGGGGAGCGCACCGCCGCAGCCACCTCCCGGCAGCAGGCCAGCGTCTGCCAGGGCTCCTCCGACGATGCCCACCAGCGCCGGCCCTGCACAAAGCGAAGGCCCTCGTTGGATGGCTCCTTCACCGCCACAGTCACCATTTGTTGTACAGGTACAGGTACCACACTAATAACTGTACTGGTACAGTATAGACCACTTACAACGTAACCGCTTATAGTGCAGGACCGGGTACAACGCGGCTTTTTTAAACCACCGGTTCGCCTCCCATAGAACTCCATGTAATTACATACCGCTTAAAATGCAGGCGCGCGAAGGGAAATACCGGTTATAGTGAGATTTCTGGAGCAGCGCGCCGACCGACCCGCGCAGCGAGCACGCTTCCCTGTGCGACACTAGATGACTAGATAACGGCGCTAGCCGTAAGCGGCACTCGCGGGGGCAAGGATGGCAAGGAGGTTGCTCGAAGAAGCGGGCAGAAGTGAAGAGAGAGGCTTCAGTTGCCATAGCGACGGAAGGACGCATGCACGTGTCGTTCACGGCGCGGGACGTTGGAGCGAGCCCAACCAGCCATTCGCGCGCATTGCATGCTGGTCGCGGGCCGGCTTCTTCTATCCACAAACATGGCGTTGGTGGTAATCGTCGACGGCGTAGTGGAAGCTCATCGTTCCGCGTAAAAGCACCATCCTTGACTGTGAATTTTCGTTGTGTGTCGCTATGATAACCCAGCACGTACTAGAAGGGAAGATCCACCTACTCGTACGGCAATCTCGTGGCGGCACTATCAAGACGGCAGAAACGCCCGTGTCGCCGTGTTTGTTTACTTCGACTACAGTGGTGCTTTCTAAGCATTTGTGTTTTCGAACATCGCCCGGACTTCTTATTTGGAGCATTTCATGCGCACATTTCATGCCTTTTTTGGAGCATTTCATGCGCATACTCTGTAAAGGATGCAAATTTTCACGCGTTTTCATCACTGGAGAAAAGTGATTAGGGTTAGCAATCCTGAATGCTCGCAACGTCCGTCCGCAATCCGCGACGCCGCTAAAAGGCTGCGCCAGGCAAAAGTCACTGATTTCTTTCAAAATGTGTGACACACTTGAGAGAGAAGTGTACTAGTCTGGTGAAATAAAGGCTTTCCTCAAACTAAGCTTTATTTTTCATCTAATATAAAACAAATTGTTTTACAAAGGTAAGTTGTCTCATGGCATTATTTTGGCCTGAAAAATTGATGTTTTGGCTATAGCGCGGTACCGCTTATAGTGCAAATTTTCGCGACTCCCACGACATACGTTATATGCGGTTTACACTGTAGTAGTACTGGCATCAGTACTGGTGCCATACAGGTACCTGTACCACAGGCAGTAGTACTGGTATCATTACTGGTGTCATACAAATACTGTCGCAGACGATATAAGAAAGCCCAAGAGCGTGCATGGCCTACAGGGCCTGTTGTGCTATCCATCCGAAAAAAGCTCAAACATTAACGAGGTTATGATGGCTGTTCAGTTTTTGTCGTCATGCCCCGCCTGACCAGCTGTTACCGAGTTAATGCTGATCTCATTAATTATAGAGTTGTTCCGCTACAAAGGCCAAAATCAAGCGTGGCTGAATCCACCGAGTCGGCAGGTTAAGCGATAAGTTTTCGGGTATCTAATAATAAGTTTGCGGGACAGATGACGATTAGCAGTTTCTATTTTATTTTACTGAGCACTACTACTTTCGGTGCCGACTCCACAATCATTTGCCGGTCAAGTGGGGAGTAATGACAAAAGTCTAACAGCAGCCGAAATTCCGCTCATTCACAAAATAGCCTCAATGACAACTCAGTTTTCATCAATTTGACAGCACTGGGGTCGTCATCTACACGTCAGACCAAGCAGGACAAAGGGGCAGAGACATTGCCGCCTGCTGCGAGTAGCCAGCGGTGCAGAGCTGGCCAATCGCAGCAGGTGGCAATGTCCCGGTCCTTTGGTCCCGCTTGGTCCAACTTTGAAGATTAGGGCCCCATATGGTCTTTGGAGTAACATGCTTGCCTGGGCTTTTTCATATTGTCAAAGACTGTACCTGTACTAGTGGTAGTGCAGGTACAGTACTGGTACCGTATTGGCACCAGTACGGTAGCAGTACTGGGGTCATACTAGTGCCTGTATTAGTTGTGTACTGGTAGTAGTATAGGTGCCATACTAGTATGTGTGCCAGTGGTAGTACTGGTACCAGTACTGGTGCCATATTAGTAATTGTATCAGCGGTAGTACTGGTACCAGCACTGGCATCATACTAGCACCTGTGCCCGTGGTAGCACTGGTATCAGTACTGGTACCATACTAGTAATTATATTAGTGGTAGTACCAGTACTGGTGTCATACTAGAACCTGTACCAAAGTTAGTACTGGTACCAGTCCTGGTGCCACATTAACATCTGCACCAGTGGTAGTACTGGTACCATACTAGTGCTTATATCAGTGTTAATAGTGGTACCATACTAATACCTGTACTAGTGATAGTTACCAGTATTGGTGCCATAAAAGTACTTGTACCAGTAGTAGTACTACACTATTAGTACCACTGCCTACTAGAGGTACCACTACTTTTATACTCATACTACTGATACCAGTGCCTGGTTTGTTTTGTCCAAGAATTTAATTGGTACCAGTACAGTACCTGCTATACATGTCATACGCGAGGGTAAAAACATGACCAAGCTGGTGAGTTAACCCCAAAATAAACCTGAGACAGGGAAAAATAAAAAAAAATTAACCCCACACAACATTTCAAGTCTATTAGACAGATGTAGCATGTCGACATCTTGTAAACCCTGAGATGGGGAACGATAAAAAAACGGACGAACACAACAAAATCTCAAACGCAGCTGAAGTTTTATTGATAGGAGCATACCAATAAATAGACGTTTACACAAAAGGAAAAGAGAAAGGGCAAAAAACTCAAAAGCAAAAACAAGACGGCCAACGCATTCACCCCAGACGGCCTAAGCCACTTCCCGGCTCCAACAAACCTCGGAAAGGGAGCCGACCACTCGAACAACAACAACCCCACGGTCACCACACATGGTGACCTCCAAACCGCTAAAGCCTAATCCCCAAATTTCTTACTCGAAGCAAACGCTTCCCGGTCCCCCCCCCCCCCCCCCCCCCCCCCCCGCCTTTTTCAAGGTTTACAAAGCTCCCCTCATACAAGCAAAAACTCTTTCATTCGATCAGTGATCACCAAGGACGGCTGGCTGACACAATTCCCCCGCTCGCGAATGCATAAAGTCTCCTTAATTAGCCTTCTAAACAATTCTTTTTCGTTACACAACACAGAAGTTTTTTCCCAAAGAGGGGAACAAAAATTACAAGAACTAACATGATTAACCAATTCAGAATTCTGCGCCAAATTCTTTACACACCTTTTATGCTCCACAAGTCGGTCATTCAAACAACGTCCCGTCTGACCAACATAACACAATCCACAGTCAAAGGGGATCTTGTAGACTACCTCTCTGACACAGGAGACTGAGGGATCTCTGTGTTTTTTCCCGCAACATCCCTCACGTCTGAAGGAAAACGGAGTAAGCCTGTCTAAGCGGTAGTCCGTCCTAAAAACTACATTAACGTTAAACTTCGCACCCAAGGCTATGAGAAAAACCATGAAAATAAGGAATTACAGCAAGGGTTCTACCTTGAACCCTCTCAGCGGTCACCGACGTGAGTACAAGCAGTCTGCGTGCACTAGAAACGATAAAATCCAAACTATAACCCGCTGACAGTAGACGTTTGGTTTGAACGTCGAAAGCGTTACCAACACAATGAGAACAAGACTCTCACTGCTTACAATTGTAAGCAGTGTCTGCTTACAATTGTAAGCAGACACTCTCTCACTGCTTACAATTGTAGCATGTGCCCCCTTTTTGAGTAGTTCTTAGCACTGTAGGAATTTTGTTGCATACACCAAATAGCCCAATCCTCTATGTTGTGTGGGCATTAGGCTACACGCGGGGCCAAGCCAATAAATGTTGAATGTTTCGAGAACACTCCCATCCCGCAGCCAGACTGCCAGAACAGCGTTACTACTGTACCGAGTAGAAGTGATGTAACGCCGTACCGGACAATGATCCAGATCCATCGGCTTTATTGGAACAAGGGTTTCCAACACACACCACGGACAAACGAGCGGCGCGGGTCATAGTCCCCAAACCACTGTTGACTGGAGAGCCGAAGAAAAGACGCGTCTTCATCAGAGGAATATGACATGCATCTGTAGTGTCATTTTCCCCTGATACTTGTCTATGGACAGAGAAGCAAGGGGGGCTCTTTGTAACCGAGGTTCATCTCCATTCATTTGGCAGGACATGACTTTCAGAAAAGAAGCGTCAATATGTCGTCACATTTTTACGTAGTCTGCAGTGAAGCACCTCAGCCACACAGCCCCATTTTTTTGTTTCTACGTAAAATACTGGGGAAGTGCCCGCTTAAAATTTAGAAAAAAATGGGGGATGGACGCTTGTCCGGTCATCAATTTTACATACAAACGTATTATGCATATTTTCCCAGATCTTATAAATTTGGGAATGGGCGCTTAGTGTGGAATGGGCCGCTGTGCGGTATTCTATGGTAGTTCTTAACGCACATTTTGTTTAGAATTTCATTGAACAGAAATGTATTAAGCTGGGAACTGCTGCCATTTTGAATTCTAAATTTTCATACAGTTTTAACACAAACCTTAGAAGTCTCACAATGCTGCAATTGCTAGGACATGAAAGCTCCAACATGTAATGCATATGTTCCGCTCCTTCCCTTGTCAGATCACACGAGCCACAGTTGCAAATATCTGAGCACTTTCGCTGTCTAGCCGACTCAAAGTCATAATGAACACCTGACCGTGTAATACACATAGGAGCACATCTGAGAGCTGAATTACCGTCATTGGATTGTCTGCAGAGTCCAATATCTCCGGCAGCATTTTGTTGGCAAACTTGAGTCGCTCAGAAGCTGGTTCCCTGGAAACATAGAACCACGACACCTCCTGTGAACTGGGTTATCAATAAAATACCATACACTAAAAATACCTTTGTAAACGAAACTGGCAAATGACAAAGCAAAGAATGTATTCAAACAAAAAAATGCCACCTGTCCTGGGTATCTCGGTACCCCCGTGCTGTGTACTAGCTCAGCATCTGAAAATACCGTGTAAGTTGCTGTTTTGAGTTTAGTAGTGCTGTGCAAATACTCGAAATTTCAAATAGTGGTTTCAAATAATACCCTATTCAATATTTGCTTCGAAAGGAAATGCAAGCTTCATATTTTTCTAAGTGTTGATCGCGGTGGGTTAGCCCTGTGGAGTGCGCTTCTTACCGAGCACGAGTGCACAGCGGTCAAGCAACACCCGCGGAGAGATCACAATTAGCTTATAAGTGGACACGTGGTAGGTTGAGAACAACCTTCAAAAGTTTAAATGTGTTTTGATTTAAGCATAGTGCAAATGTAGTGAAAGGCTCAAAGAAACTATATTCAATATTCCATTTGAAAATATTCAGCCAAAACCACTATTCACTTCGAATTCGCTTCAAACCAAAAATCCACTATTTGCACATGACTCGAGTTTAGACATTGCGGAACAACTTTATTGGCTAATTGTTTTCAGCAGATTGCAAAACAGAAGTATGATCTGAAAAGAGATAACAGCCGATAACGTTCTCGGTAGGAAGGGATACCTTTATATCCCTAGGGTGGGGCCACTCTTTGTGGTAATCAATGCGGATAGTAGTATACAGTCAGGAGAAAAAAGCAAGCCCAAATGGCAAAGATGTTTTCACATAACACTGGTCAAAAATATGGAAGTGCTCATGTGTTTTTGGCATCAGGTTAATCATTACATGTAAAGGCACCTAGGACGCCTTAATGTACACGATACTACACACTACATTACACAAAGCAGCTTTCAGACGACAGTTAATTTCATGAGCACAGATTCAGGCTCTGAGTCTTCACACTCGGGCAAAAAAGTCCAAGATCCCTTTCTGGTGCTTGGATGAAGTTGTTTTTTTTTTTGTTTTTTTTATGATACTAGTCTCTTCATGGGAAGCCCTGATTTTGCACTTCTGTCTGGGAAGCTAAGTGATGGGCACACCAATGTTTGCCACTGCTTTTTCACATCTAAATGAAGCTCGCTTTGGAGCACTCCCTAAGTCCCTGTCTATACCTGCCCTACTCCCTGTCTCTATCTGCCCTAAATCAGCAGGACTGAACAGATACAGGTGCCTACCATGAAGTTTGTGAAGTCATGAAAGAAGGAGAAAGATGGAAGAGAGACAGTCAAACCAACATGTTCCGCCAACAGCATTACCACTGGGAAGCTGAAAGGTTGCTTCCCATTGAGCCTCCACCTTGTGAAGCAGGCTAATTGGAGCTTAAAAATTAAAATAAAAAAATTGTATCCATTAAGTCATGCGGTTTACATCAGCCACCTAGCACTTGGGGTGAGGCGTGTTTAATGATTGCATGAAAATCGCAAGTTAAAAAATAAAGCGTTGTTTTGAACGTAGAAACTGGAAAGGCCTAAAAATTTCACTCCAACAAGCAATAAACAAATACATTAGTTCCATGATCGCGCAAACAAGGCCAGGAGTCGCAAAAATATCAACCATAAAAATGAATCAATCAGACACTTACTAGTGTATCTGTGCCTCCACAGTCACCGATTTAATTCCATAAATTGCAACAACTAACTTTTCCCACATTACGCAGAAAAGTCGAGTAACAGACCAGTAGAAGAGGTAACAGGTCGTTACCTCTTCTACTCATCCCTCGTTTGTTTTCACGCGGTTCCCCTTTCACGATGTCAAACCAAATCGCCCAACTTTATGCGTTGTTGTACTTTAATTAACTGCAATTACTGTCCTTTTCTCCAAGGTTCTCTTGTCTTCCCAAAGGTGAGTGAGTCCAGTGCAAGCAAGAAAAAAGACAGCCTCAATGAGGGGTGGCTCCAGCTTTGGGCCGCTCACCTCTTCTTGAGGCCAGTCAGGTTGATGAGGTGCACCTTGAGCCAGTCAAGCCCTTTCTCGCCGAGCGGCTCGCCTCGAGCAAACAGCAGAATTCCACGCACCACGTCGCTCCCTACAAGGAGAACAATAAGTTCCGTCAGCTGCTTCCTTGGTTAGGGCGGAAGCTCACACAAAGTGTGGACCGGTCACAAAAACCTGCGCGAGTTTAGAAGATCAACCAGCACGGTTCCAGATGCCTGTGTGGGTCTCTGAGTCAACCTTATCTCAAAAGCTCTATGTGCTTCTCGGGCAACTCAAACAGTCAGAAAAAAACCTGAGTGAGCTTCTGAAGCAAATCGAGCAGTTGCAAATGCCTGCGCGAGTCTCTGATGCAACTCAGACAGTCACAAATGCCTGTGGGTTTCTAAGGCAGCTCAAACACTCACAAAAGCACATGCGAGTTTTTGAGGCAACTCAAAAACATGCAAGAGCCTGTGTGCATATTTAAGGCAACTCAGCCATAAAAGCCTCCGAGTTTCTGAGACAACTCAAGCAGTCTCAAAAGCTCGCATGTGTTTCTGAGGCAACTCGAAACAGTCAGAAAAGCTTGTGTCAGGTTCTGAGGCAACTCAAACAGTCACAAAATTATCTGCGAATTTCTGAGTCAAGTCACTGCTACAAAAGCCTGTGTGAGCTTTTGAGAGAACTTACATAGTCAGAAAAGCCTGTGTAAGCTTCTGAGGCAACTCAACAGGTCACAAGAACTTGTGCGTGCTTCCGTGCTAACTCAGAAAAGCCTCTCCGAGTAGACTCTGAAGTTGCAGCCTCAATTCTTCCTCTGCCAGTTTCCACTCAGAGACCCGAGATTAACAGTCATGACAGTGATCAGACTCGCCATCTATGATGGGAACACAGATAAGGTGCCTTATCTTGAGGCAGACAACATTCTTGCTGCCTAATACATATCCATCCAGCAAATTCAACCTCTTTAGGAAGGCTAGGGTATTTAAACCGAGGCAGAGATACTCCAAAAAAAGTATTTGGGAATACAAATACAAATTCAAGAAACAATACAAGTGTCTCAGGGATAAAATACAGATACTGAGATACACCATTTGTCATAACGTGATATCCCCGAGATACTTGTGCAAAAGCGGCAAAAAGTATCCCAGAATAAAGATACACACAGAAGATACACACAATGTATTGTGTGTATAAAGGTGCACACAATTTGCTCGGCAACAAGGTTGCTCGCAAATTGCTAAGCAACCTTGTTGCAACTGGAACGTGTGGTTTCAGTCCGATTCCTCTGGGATTGGTGTCTACGCTCTTGGTGCTCTTCATTGGTTAGTTTAAAGGCTGCTTTAACGTGTGGTATGTACAGTCGACAGATTCCTGGAGTGGAGATACTACCGGCCCTAACCTGGGTTTTAAACCCCTGGCGCTCTTCCAGAACCTGAACCAGCCAATCAGCGTCGAGCTAGGGGATGTGACATCAACTTGGCTCAGCCAATCAGCATCGAGTTAACCAATGGCTTCACAAATTTTTAGAACCCACCTGACGAGACAAAGCACGCTTTGCATGAATATATTTTTTCCCACACGGTGGTAGGTGCAGAGGGGAGCAGTTTTTGGTGAATGCAAATGGTAGCACTTGTGCTCCTCTTTTCGTGTCAGTTTATGCAGCTCCCCTTGCCTCAAAACACTTTATCTATCCATCGCTATCCTCCCAAATGCCGCTTAAAAAGTAATTACAGTCTAAGCTGGTTATAACAGTCTGATTTTGACCAAGATTTCAGTCTGTTGTAAAAGGAGTATGTTGTATGCAGATATGAAGTTGAGCCAGTGATATGTAGAGAAAAACCAACTGAACTTCACAAATTGGTATGCTATATCCAAATATCTGTTGTAACCAGGTCTGTTGTAATGAGCTTTGACTGTATCGCCCCCAATGAAGCACAAAGTCACTCGAGGTGAACACCTGCTTGCCTCACTTGACAAAAGGCCCAAAGTGAACCCCATTTTGCCACAAGGCTGCACCCAGGGTGGGGGGGGGTTTGATCTGGCTGTGCTAAGGCAGCCTGCATGGAGCCTGTTGTAACACAAGAGGAAGAGAAGCCCACAAGTCCTCTGTGATTTCCTCCACTTCAGTGTTCACTCTGCTCAAAGAGCTGAGGGCTTTTCGGAAAAAGCTTATCCTGCTATTCGTACAAAAAAACCTTTCCTCAAATCACCTTTTCTGTTTTGTTTTTTTTTGTTGTTTTTTTTCTTTCAATTTTGGTGACTGTTTTTGATACACTACGCAACCGGGCTTCTCTACTGTAGAATGGGGTCATATTATAAATTCTGGGACCCCCTGCACCGTAAAAGTGGTTTTCATTTTATTCTGAAAGAGCAACAGTTAATTTTTTACTAAAAATGTGACGAGATACCCAAGTCTGGCGAAGTATTTCGATACAATCGAACCGTTGTAAATGTATTTCCATGCTGAGATATAAATATACATCTCTTAAATGTATCTCAGTACAAAGATACCGCTACTCTAAAAGATCTCTAAGATACTATAGCGATACATTTATATTAAGGAACTACCAAGACCTGATTTAAACTGCTGTATCGTGGGCCTTCTATTTTCACAAGTAGCGAGAGGTGAAGCTCGATCCGCTACATTTTGTCGTCATCATTATCGAAATTCTAATTTTCTTGCACTATTTACAAAACTTGCGCATTATAATAATTTGTTTTTCATACTTTAAGTGGCATTGTAAATACTAACTGATCACCCAGAAACCATATAACTGCAAAAGCTTATCCATAGAAAGCCAGAAGAAAGTCAAATACCGACTTCAGTTACTCTGTTTATTTGAATCTAGATGAACATCCGTTCTAGGCTGACCACGGGAAATCCAAAGGTAAAAAAGTAAAGAATATTTCCTCAATTGTATGCTGATCGAAAAAAGAGAAAAAAAAACACCATAAATAAAAAATTGAACGATATTGCTGCGTGCATAGTCGAGAGGAAATGCACTTGGCTCTCACGCCGGCGTCTTGGGTTCGATGCCGGGTGCCGGACATTACTTGGACGGCGCTGAAGCATCTCCTTCTACGTTTTCTTCACGCGAACGTCAGAAATGTCACCATGTTCGCAAATGACTTGTCGTCGCTGTCACCCCCCCCACTCCTTGTCGCAACCCTCCTCACACAGCACATGGTCGTCTGTACCATCCAATGCACTGGAGAGACAACACTTTCGGAATGGTCTCGCGGAAAGGTCAGCCAACACGTCGTCCCACACAGCAGCGATCCAGGTGGTCATCCGCCTCGACAAAGTGCGCCAATGACGGATATTCTTTTCGCCCACACAAAGTTTCGCTGGGCCCAGAGGTTTGATGGCTGCTCCACACCCAAAATATTTTTTGCCTGAAGGTCACTGTGAGTGAGATCGACTGGTCGGCACCAATGCATCATTTGTACCGTCCAACTACCGATTCCTCTGGAGAGCAGAGGAGGTGGCGTCGACTGCAGGGCGCAGTTTTGGGAGGAAGGCTTCGTTGATGGCCCAGCCGGCAGGGTCGCGTGGAAGATCAATGGTCGTGGCGGAACCAGAACCGTATCCTAGCTTTCAAGTTGGCCTTCGAGTTTCGCTTTCCATGTTTTCTAAAGAGTAACGTATTTACTTGCATATTGAACGCACTCGTATAATGAATCCACCCCCCAAAATGGGTACCAATATTTGGAATTCTCTTTCCCTTGCGTAATGAACGCACTTCCAATTTTCGGCTCCGCAAGTCTCGAATTGCGTTCAATTTAGCTAGCCACCAGGTCAATTTTCTCTTGCTGCCATGTGGTCAAGCCAAGTCAAGCCAAGCCAAGTCGCTCTTGTAATGGCTGCGAGCAGCCACAAGTTCATAATTGCAAAAGTGATCAACCGCGTGAAACCGATCGGCACGCACACTTGACGAAGCTTGGGTTGAGGAATTGCCCAGCCCCGGACATTCTTCGTTTATCGGACGCATTGATGTCAACAGACACGCCGTCATCTGTGATCCGATTTCGCACAGCAATATCGTGAAGGTGGTTAGGCCTAAGAATGGTCGCGTCGCTCTCCATGCTGAGTGAACTTCATAGGGTGCTTTTTCTTAGGCAAAAGGCACAGCAAAAGCGCCCTAAAAAGGTTTGAAATTTATAGAGCATGGTTACTGTGGCACACCCACGACTAGCCATGGGCACACCTCCGTCTATGAAGACGTGCCACAATACCTTGTCATGTCATATTGGCACCTAAAATGACATTTGCCCAAAGTGTGGTCAATCTTTTGGAAAAAAAATGTGTGTTCATAATGCGAGTAAATATGGCATATGCCTAGATTCAAACAAACACCGTAAAGTCACTGCCACCACAAGGGTCGCATAAATATTGCCTGGATTGTCTGCTGGCACTTAATAAATCTCTAAGTTGCTCGTCCGTTTCGATCCGGACTGATATCCTAGCAATTATTTGTTCCGTGGCACTTGGGCTTAGGAAACAATGCATCAGCAATCCGGAAATTGCAAATCAAATTTCCCCGAAGAAAATTTCCCCATTTGAAGCGGGTCGCACGGGAGAGTTCCTGTCCGAGGACATTCTGGAAGGGGAACTCACCCAGGTGGTTGAAGTGGGGAGGGCACGGGTACACCCGGCCCCTGAAATCCATGTTGTGGGGGAACCAGAACACCCGGTCTTTGAACTGAAAAAGATGCACAATGCAGGCGACGTCACACTGTGTTTCTCCGCCTTCTCTCAAGGGAAGGGCTGGAATGGGTTCCCTCTTTCAAAATATCTCGGTTTACGCTTTCTGCTTTAGAGTCGTTTCAAAGCAATCCAGCAGAGTGTGCCTGTACTTTCTGATCGAGCATATTTTCTGAATCACGGGGGAATTTTGAAACACTGAGTTCCTTTCATTGGGGCTTTAGTCAGTGTAATTTCTTTTTATTATACTACTATAGTTACAGTTATACATTAACCAGAAAGATTTCTGTCTAAGATGTTTACGTTCTAGTCATAGATCACGGATTCCCAAACTGGGACTCCACAAATTCAGGACCCAAGGTTCCGTGTGGCCTCAAACCTACTCAAGTGACCCCAGTTTCATTTTAAATGCAATTACTTTACAGTGGAAACTCGATTTTATGTAATCTGAGTTTACGAAAGTCCAAATTTAATGAAAAATAATTCTAACTTCCACACAGAATTCGTAAACCTCCATGTATTTATGAACTCGTAATAACAAAATTAATTTGGCCATAGACCCAATCTAACGAAGCACTCCTGAAAACAAAAATTAATGCAAAAAGGGGTAATTTAAGGTGCATTTTGCTTAGAATGCCTCAAAGTTAATCGCTGGCATGCCAGCGTAAAGATCGCACAACCCTAGTTTTGTTTTTTATGGAAAAATAAACTTGGCGCTCAGGGCTTTTACTGAATTATACTTTTTATATATTTATAAGTTTGCCAGTCGTTTGGTCTCGGTTTGGTTGCATTTAGTCGAGCTTGGTAGCAGTCTGCCTTCCCGTTAGGCCTAATGACGGGCACACCGGCGTGCCAGATATGAACAGCAGGGCATTGCTACAGTGTGCATCGCCAAGACAAGAACAAGAACAAGAGTCTTTTAGTTGTCGCTAGGGGTGTGCGAATACCAAATAGTAGTTACTCAATCAAATACCGAATTGAATTAAGAAAAAAAAGCCGAATATTGAGTTGAATATTGAATAGTGATTTTATTTGTAGGAATTTTTCGAAGTGTACTGCGAATGAGATCATTATATGTGCAGAGTATGCACCTGGTGCAGAATATGCACCTTGTACGGAGCAAAAGCTTGAAAGTATAAAAGTTCTGGTGAAAAAAAAAATAAAAATAAAAAATAAAAGAAAACCAGCTGTTAATGGGTGTTGGGCACTACAGATCCAATTTTATGGCGCAAACATAACATATCTACCCTAAGCGTCACAAAAAAAAAAAAAAGAAAAGTTCCGGCCACGCGTGCCTTTTGTCCTCGTGAAAAGCACGACCTAACACCGCGACATGTCCATTTTTTTATATTTGTATATCTCAGAAAAGGGGCATTTTGCGATATTTGGTCTCAATTTTAAGGGAGAAAAAGGGCAATTCGGATTTTATTTTATATAAATAAACAGATAGCTCTTAAATCCGAGTAAACAGTCTTAAACAATATATAATCTGAAGTAAGAAAAAAAGATTGAGGTACACCTAAGCACTTCTTATGAGTTGTGAATGCAAAAGCATGAACATTATTATCATTATTATAATGCAGTTAAATGCAAAGGTGCAAGCGAGCTGGACAAGGATGACAAAAATAATCCCTGGAGAAGGGGAACACGCGTCTTGGCACGCTGACTGGCACTCACCTGGTGCTGACGGACATGCAGCACCATAAAGTGGCCAGTCGTTGAGACTGATGCGCAGCAAGTTTCAACGACCGGCTACCTCATGGCACTGCATGTCCGGTGAACGGGATCCTGGTCGATGCGCGCTAGCCAATGGAATCGAAGCGGTGTAAAAGGTGCCGTAGCACACCGGCGAATGGGAGCTGGCTTGACTTGGAGAAGGATTTAGGAGCTGTTTGGCATGGTTTCAAAACTGATGCTCCATGAGACAGTTAATGCTTTCGCATTAAAGCTCCTGCTCCTGGCGTGGTTTCAAAGCTGATGACGTCGACTCGCTCCATGAGACAGTTAATGCTTTCGCATTAAAAGACATATGGTAAGGTGGCGCAAGTCACCGTCCAGCTGCCGCTATGCATCCATTTTTCCACCCATCTATCCTGTTTTAGAGCCTAGGTTTAAAAGAGGGAGCAAGCAAAACTGAAATTACGGAGACGGCTCCTGTGCAGATTGGTCGTAAAGTGCGCGTGTGCTGTACTGTCGCGTGGAAAGGCGAGCAAACGGAAGAGCGACGATGCCGGTCCAATCGACCCTTTCTTCTTTTCGTCACCTTCTTGCAATTCGTAATTCAAACGCGGCTATCGAACGGTATGAAAGTCTCTCAAATCTAGGCACCCTATTTTTCCATTCCGTTTCGTTCCAAATCAGAATTTGCGGCTTGAGTTTCCAAAAGAATGACGACAACTCTGCTGGCTTCGTCGGCGTGGTTAATGTGGTTTTCCTTTTGTGATGTTGCAGTCACCGATTTCTGTGAATGTGGCAAGTGGCTACATCGGCGCTTCAATTTGAAACGAGGGGCTTAACTCGTGAAAATTCCGGCCTCCCAACAATTCCTCTCTGGAAGCGGCGCAAACGGGATGTTTCAGTTGTGATTCAAGATTAGATTCTGTCATGTTCATGAGTAAATCTGCATGCTATGAAGTTCGTGGCGTTCGTTACTTTTATTTTTTATAACCTGTGCGTTGGATTTTTGTGGAATGGTAGGATCAAGAGGTGTGTTTTGCATGGTCTGTCTAACATTACAGCGCTAACATCAAGATAAAAAAAAAAAACGGCTCTTTTGTCAGCTTTGCGCCGACCGCGCGTCTTCAGCCGAATTCCTAGTATTCGAGTGACCGAATACTAGGAATTCAATTCACGAATCGAATTATTCAGGAACTTGGCATTCGATTTGAATTCATATATTCGAGTACCGTATTTGCACATCCCTAGCCTTGCATAAAAGCGCGTAGTGCTGGGCTAGTTGGTTGTTGAACAACATTGTTAGAAACAGCGCAAAAGGACGGAACAAAAGTAGCTTGTCCTGCCCTTTTGCGCTGTTTTTAATAACGTTGTTCAACGCATGACGGAATACAAGGAGTGCACGCCGGATGCTAGGAATCAGAAAGAGATGACGCCGCTGTGCGCCTGCCCTGTTGGTGACTCCTGTGCCGCCGAGAAATGAAGACCCGAAGAAGAAAAAAGTGTTTGCCCTCGAACAAAAATGTGAAAATCATTGGTGCTTGGATCAAAAAGAACACTCTTTCATGTCTCTGGTGGGGTATGTAAACTTCTATGAGAGCCCCAGCAGGCTCTAACAAGGGCACGAATTTTGGTGTCAGGAAAAAAACCTTAATTGGTTTCCTCGAAGGTTCCAAGGTTTCCTTTACGCACTAGCAGTTCAGGTCGTCTTCACGGACAAAACTAATGTGCGTGTAAATCGCATTTCTGGCGCATCAGCACTGCGGGAATGCGACATCGCGGTAGCTCTCTGGATGGTGTTACATGAAAACTACCGTATTTACTCGCATAACGAAAGCACTCGCATAATGAAGGCACCTCCCACAACTAATAGCAATATCTGGACTTTTTTTTTCCTCGCGTAATGAATGTACTTTCAATTTTCGGTTCCACGAGTCTTGAATTGCGTTCAATTTAGCTAGCCACCAAGCGGTCAGGCCAAGTCAAGCCAAGCCAAGCCAAGCCAAGCCAAGCCACACGTAATGGTTGCAAGTGCGTAGTTGTAGAAGTGATCAACCATATCAAATTGAGCGGCGTGCACCCTTGATGAAGCTTGGGTCGAGGAATTGCCCAGCCCTAGGCATTCTTTGCCCATCGGACGCACTGATATCAACAAACACGCCGTCGTCTGTGGCTTTCGGACAGCGAAATTGTGAAAGTGGTTAAGCCTAATTTCACATACCCCATAAATGTGTTTATTTAATCTGTAACAAAACGGCGCAGCAGGGTGCACGCTGCATTGTAGGTTGAGTGTGTCTGGTAGCCCCTGGTAATAGCCGTCTCTGTGAACAAAACTTGATCCATGCGAGCGGGCCTTCGCGGTTAGCGGTTTGACTTCGTACGAGTTCTTATAAGCGTAGTCGCGGTAGTATAAATAAATAAAAAATAAATATACCTGAGCGCGCCACCGAATACTAACAATATATATCGCCTAAGAACGGTCGCGTTGCTTTCCGTGCTGAGTGAGCTTTGTAGGGTGCTTTTCCTTCAGCAAAAGGCACTCCAAAAGCGACCTAAAAAGGTTTGCTATTTATAAAGCGTGGGTGCTGTGGTGCCCTCGACCAGCCGTGAGTGCGCCTCCATCAGTGGAGATGTACCACAGTACCTTGCCGTGTCATATTGCCACCTGATATGACATTTGCACGAAGTGTGTAACTGCAAAAATTTTTCCCCGTGTACTGGGCACGTGTATGTGTGAACAAATATGTGTAAATTTTTCGGGGAAAAAAGTGTGTTCATTATGCGAGTAAATACAATATAGCTTTATTGAATTTAATGCCCGAAAAATGCCATTTTAGATTTAACGAAGTTCTCAATTTGGCAAAGTAAGTGGCAGCTCCTCTCTACTCTGTTAGATCGAGTTTTAACTGTATTGGCCTCGAGATCGACCTAGAGGTGGCGCTACGGTTGCGCTATCATCATCATCAAAGCGGGGATAGGAGAACGGCCGCCCCATAGGCTCTCCCCGTTCGCGCGCAAGACGGCGTAGATTATTGCGTTTATTTTGTCGCATACTATCGGTGGGAAAACAATTCTAGCGGAAAAGGATGCGGTACTGTTCGGTGCTTCAGTGAAGATCGAATCGTGTTGCCAGCGTGCGGCCTAAATTTATATAATCGCTTCTGTGGGTGCGTCTGCGTCTGCTCTAGGCAGACGTTGGAAAGCATGGATCACCACGACTGATGCCTGTCTCCGGCTGAACTGGAATATTTATGTTAAATATTTGTTTCTTTTAAAATGAATGTATCGGTTCATTAAGTTCCTCAACGTGGCAATTTAAAAAAA